TACTGTTGCTCTTGCCACAATTTCACATCAAATAAATGGATGTACTGACTTGGATTACTCCTTATTAAACATTGGAGAGTGAATAAGACTTGAAAGCCTCCACTGTCTTGTTTAATAGGGAAACTAAAGTGAAAATACAAATCCAATGGTCCCATTTTGTTCTTCTCTTCCTCTCAGCAGCTCTTCAAAATGATTCAGTCAAAGGAAATTGAGTATTTGAACTTAGAAGCAGAAGATAAATATCCACGATTTCTCTTGGAACCTCAAATCTGATCTTTGTAGAAGCAGTGAGGAACCTTGTTAACACTTTCATGTTGAAGAAAAGGTAATATCCACATTGTGTAATGAGAAATATGGATTGATGTCCCATAGATCTTCCTTGATATTTTTGCAACTCTGACTCCCTTAAATTCTCAGGATTGGCAAATCTCCGTGTTTTATTATTTTTGGTTATGTTTCTCCATTTTTATTCTTTCTATATCAATATATATATTCAACCACCTCAATCCTGAACTTCTCTTCGTTCGCTAGGATTCAGCCAAGGGAGGTAAACATTGGTCACTGGAAGCCTCCTTTCCCATATTTCCTCTGAGAATTCATATTTTGGAATGTCTTCCTGCCTTTATCTTGTCGCTTGGTTACTCCTGCTACAATTTTATATCAAAGAAATGGATGGGCTAGCTTGAATTCCTCCCTAATAAGCTTTGGAGAGTGAATAAGACTTGAAGCCATCAACTATCTTCCTTAGCAGGGAAATTAAAGTGGAAACACAAATCCAATGTTCTCATTTTGTGCAGCTTTAGTTTTTGACTTAATCAGCCCTACAATGTCCATGTAAATATTTACCGAAAAGCAACCCTTCCCATTTTCTGCTGTGCTAATAATTAAACATATATATTTGATCATAAAGACTTCCCCTTAATTTCAAATTTGTTGCAAAGAATTCTATTATGTCAATTAATAGAATATCTGATGTATTAGGAAAAGAGGAATAGAGTTTGAAGAAATAAAGAAAACTAACTGACAAGGAGCTACAAAAATGATGTTATCATGACTTCCTGTCTAATCCTCATGAAATCCACACTCACCCTTTGGAAACGAATCATTGGGGTTTGTTGGGAAAAAAAGAAAAGTAAAAAAAAAAGCTTGAAAACTCCACTTTTTCCTTCATTGTATACAAGGTGGTCTGGTTTTAGAAACAAACTGGAATTAAAAATAGTCCATTACTATCAGGGTAGAAAACCGAAAATGAAACTGTAGGATACTCTTCCTAAATATCCAAACTGCCTTAGAGATATTGAGGAAATATTAGGAAGGTGCCTCCCCTCCTCACTTTGGACGTTGGGGGGCAGTGTTGTCAATTGAAACTCTTTGGCCTGTGCGCCCTGTGGGGGATGGGCTGGGGAATAAAACAAGTATCATTAGATATTGTGTCATTTCTGAGACATGAATTTTTTTTTATTACTGTTTCCACAATAGTTCACTGAAATCTCTTAGGAAAATTTCATGTGTCAGGAGGTTCTAATCCTCACCATGAATCTCAGAAATTTTGATAAAGAATGTATCCTTGGTGTTTGTATCCAAAGGAACTTTCTAGAGTCTATAAAAGTACTTCATACCTTTGCTGAAAATTAAAACTACACAAAGGGATATTTATCATGCACACACAAATATACATATAGACACACACTATGTTCCTTATTGTGAAGCCATGTCTGAGTTGACAATTAAATATTAGTCAACAGTGTGTGTCAGCAGCCAAAAAAGCCAATGCAATCCTAAACTGCATTAACAGAGGGATACAATCAAGATCAAGTGAGTTACTAATATCACTCTATAAAGCCCTAGTAAGAACCACACCTGGAGTACTGCAACCAGTTTTGGTCACCGTACTCTGAAAAAGTTGTTGAGACTCTAGAAAAAGAGCAGAGAAGAGCAACCAGGATGATTTAGAGACTGGAGACTAAAACATATGAGGAACGGTTGCAGGAAC